TGACTCTGATGCCAAAATCTGCTTTATTTTAAAGTTCCATTCACATCTAGATAACTATATAATTCATTTAAAAAAAAAAAAAAAAGTTGAACCCCAACCTTGAGGGCCCCAACCGTCCCGCGCCTAGAGTTTTATGAGGAAGCTAAATCGGGGAATGTGCCCCAACAGGTCAGGAAATAAGAGTTGCATGTACATTACACTTACAAGGAGTCCAATTCCATATCTCAAGAATCGAATTCTCACACTACGACTGTCAGCAAAGCGTGAGATAATCTCATTCCTGTCCTTTATACCACTGAACTATACCCCGGAGAGCTAACTCTATAATTCATTTCTTTTGGGAAAGGAGGATAAAGAGGTATCAAATTGATAGAGTTAGAGATTTTTGAAAAATATATATCTAATTGTTGACTAATTGTAATAAATTCTATGCAGGTCTTGTCCCTGTCCAGATGCCATAGAATTTGCCTTCTATAGATATTCTCTTAGGTGAGCTGGAGAGAAGAAATTTCGAAACGATGGGATGAATTATGTTTTTGGACTCTAGGGTAAATGTCAACTTACCAGTCGACTCTTGAGTCCAGTTTGGCCCATTAAAATTATAATTCATTTTTCTCCTCCTTATCAATTACTTATTTTTCAATAAATAATATTATACGTAAATTCAAAATATTTTCTTCTTTTTTAATCACACGTTCTTAAAAAAATAATATTTCAAAAATTATGATCTCAAATAATGGGGATCAAAAGGGGGGCTTGTTCTGCTTCTAATCCCCTATTAAGACTAGTCCATTTATGATGTTTACTCAATTAACGGACGTGTTATTACATTTTTATCTTTAGAGATAGATTCATAAGCTCAATAGAATTCACTTAAGAGGTTCCATAACCTCATAAATTAATTATATCAATTTCATTTTGGATTTCTCTTTTTCAATGTTTAAAAATTATGGTACCATACAATAAACACGACTAAATAATCTTTTCTTTTTTCTAACTTAAGTTTTATTTACTTTCCAAAAACTCTGAGAAACTGAAAAGATCGAGTTAAAAATATGAAGTTAAGAATTTTTAGTATTTCCAGGGTGAAAAATATCCATCAATATCTCGACATTAACCTCTAAATGTGAGTCTATATATTCAAGTAGAAATGCTATTTAAAAAAAAAAAAAAAATGTGACAAGGGGTTTAATATCCTATAGAACCAAATTAAGCCCTTGTTTGAGCACCATTTTCGGAGAAAAATGCATTTTTTTGAATAGTGTATTGATGTGAAATGTGTGGTTAAAAAATAAAATTTTTTTTGAATTTACCTGTAATATTATTTTATTGAAAAATGTGTGGTTAAAATAGATCAAAACACTGTTTCAGAATGCAATATTTTTTTATTTTTAATTTTTTGACTCAAACAAGAGTTAATCATCTTAATCATGCCAAATTAAACAAATGATAAAAATACAGTGCTGGTGAGATCATTGCTGATATATTGCTTACCTCGGTTTGTTGACATTTTTGGACAAGCAAGAAATAACAATAGAATACATTGAGGTTGTCTTGTCTTCAAAAGAAGGAAGTCATTAATTTCCAGTTTTTTGGTTATTATTATATCAATCATGATCTGCGTCATTTGTTACGAAGTCCTCTTTCCTGACTTTTGTGGCAAATCGTCGTACACAAATATAGGGCCAATGATAATAATTAACAGATACATTTGAAATGATTTACAAAATTTCATCTATCAGACGGCAAACTTCCTATCGAATTAGGTTTTGTCACAAAATTTTCGACGTTCAATTTCCCAACTTCAATGGTAGTGTGTTCGATTTTTATTTTCTCCAGCCATTTTTGACAAAATAAATTTGTTGATAATTAAGTAGTTAGAACATCAATACATATACCTATAAATTTATTTGTTAAAAATTTATCCCTAACACGACCTACCTTCCCCCGTGAAAGTTTAGATATACTCTCGAACCAAAATTGTGACACATGGAATTCTGATAATTAGTGATCGTGGGAACTCAACTCAAGATTTTCATATACCCTAATAATATTTCTTTAAACTTTAAATGTTCAGTGATATATTATATATCTTCAAGATGTAACTTTCAAACCTTTTAATTTGAAAAGATTATTGTGTTCAAATTATTCTTTCCAGTAAAAGAGATGCATACACATAATTTATACTCTACCTCATATAATAATTATTAGATCTTTTTAGTAATTAATATATACTGATTCTTTTAGCCAAAGGAACTATTTAAAATAATAATAATAATAAATCAGATAGACTTGTAGACATAAAGCTATATGACTTGACATTGAGCCACTCGCAAAAAGAAAAAGCTGTATGCAGTGGTATTGAGTGAAATTACACAGATACCCTAAACATGCAAGTCTTGAATACGGGCTTATTCGGTAGTAATTATAAGAATCGATTTTATGATCGTTAGAAAGAAAAGTGAGTTTTATCTGTGAGTGAAGAAGTAAAAAATGACGATTGGAATAATGAAATAATGATTAAAAATTTGATTTTTTGGGGTGAAAAATTGCTACCAAACAGGGTTATGTATGTTAATTTGCATGCGTGGGGCCCATGCACCAGCCAGGGGGGGACAACACCTTATTAAGTTGGCCCTTTCCTTTCACAATTTGAGACATGGAGCACTGATAAGTAATGGAGAGAATTCGAATCTTAGCTTTCTGGAACTCTTTTTCCCCTATTTTCATATAAGTTACGCTGTGTTCGTATGGCTGAGACTCGAGAGATTTCATATCGTTTGGCTATGAGGTAAATGATGAGGGGTTTATAGAGGGATTCCGAACCTTTTGGGACTGTTAATTTTTACAAGACCTGACTTTGAGGGGTGGATTAAGGGATTTGAGATCTACTGTTCAACTTGTTGTCTATCCAATGATTTATTAACACATCATTTTAAATTAACATATTTAATTTTTCTGTCAGTGCCACTTGTATTTAAAAATAGGTGTTCATTGATGTGTCAGCAAATCTCAACTCAGGTTGCGGAAGATAACTTAAAGATCGAATTTTGATGCATGTTCTAATTTGTTAAAGAAAATGGCCAATCCAACAGTTACATATATTTTTTTTTTCTGAGCCAACAATTATTTTAAATTTTTTTATAAATTCAATGATCCGCCAATCCTGTTATATTACAATCAAATTATATAATCTAAAGCTCTGAATCGTGAGAATTAAATACATATTCTTTGCTTTTGAAAGGTTTATACCAATTAAGCAAAGCAAGTTTAACATTTTTACTAAATTTTGAAATAAATTGATGAAATGTTTGATATAAAAGTTGGAGGTCTCATTAAATTTATGATTAAAATTAACTGTTGACTTCAACTTATATTTTAATTTAATTCTTTAACTAAACCAAACAAGACATAATTTGATACGTCAATAAGGCTTTGATAATTCCTAGCTAGAAAATACACATATATCTTGCTCGAAAAAACTAAAAGAGAATTAAAATAAATACCAAACTTTGGTCAAAGAAGAATAAATTTTCAGCTTTAACCTTTTACAAAGAGAGGCTACATATAGAGCTTTATATAATAATGCTCATACCTTGAATTGCAAGATAGGACATGAAAGGGACATTTTTTAATACATAAAAAATGTAAAAGCAAAGAAAAGAAGAATTCCTATACGGTTTTTTCGACATGGGATTTTACCCAAGTCAAAGGTGGTTTTTTTTTTTTTTTGGTAACGATAAAGGCACCACAATCTCCTGCAACCTCCACCCCCCACCCCCACCCCTCTTCTTTTAATGTGGAGCATTGGCATCTTTTTCTTTCTTTAGTTTAATTTTCAAGATTCTTTATTAATGTCAGTTTCACTGAAAGACCCCATTGCTGCACAATCCAAGAGGGAAAATTAACTTAAGGTAATATATATAACTAAAATGCTCTAATTTGAATTATCATTTTTTGGTAATTCGGAAATTCAGAGAGAATTAAATAATTAAAAGTTAAGGTCGCTCAACAAAAATTTTAATAGCTCAAAATCATTTTGATACTAATTTAAAAAAAAATAAAAATAAAAAAATTTCAAGTTATCAAAATCCATCAAATTTAGCCCTTGTTCGATCCTCGTTATTTTCAAAATACATTTTTCTCTCTTCTTTTTAACAATACATTATTCAATAAAATAATATTATATGCAAACCAAAAACTTTTTCTTATTTTTTAATTACACGTTCTTCGTCAATCTACAATATCAAAATGCATTCTTACACTAAATTGGGGCTTAAACTAGCTCTTAATCTACAATAGTTCTTATTCAAAATTACGAGGTATTAAGAATCTTTGCAAACTCGAATACATAACAAAAGAGACTCCTTATTCTTTCTTTGTAAAAACAAGAACATTAATTATTTAATGCCAAACCCACTAAAAATTCAGTGACATGGTAATAGTATTAATGACAATTTTTTTGGTAATTAAAAAGTACTCTTTCATTTCTCAGTACAAATTCACAATAAAAGATGTGGTATAAAAGTCAAAATTTCTCACCCCAAATTGTCTCCCGTTTTAGACAAATTATTTGATACTTCAATGCTAAGTTAAATTTTAGTTGTCTCGTAGAATTTCAAATCCTCCTTTTCATCTACCTTTGCTGAAGTTTCTTCTTATTTCTTATTTCTTCTTTCTACTTTCTCTCTAGCGGGATTGCTGTCTGTCCTATCATAGCCATTGGTGGCTTGTATCTGGTTCATGGATATTGATCTCTTGTGGTTTCAAGGGGGGTGGTTTCTATTTCAGATTTGCATGGCAAAAACTTCATCATTTTCTTCAGAAATCTCCGCAAAATTTACGAACCCTTTTCTTCTTTTTCTTGGGCTTGTTTTTATCCTTCTTGTTCTTGTTAATTCCTCTGATCCTTCAAAATCCTCCATGGATTCATCACTTCCCTCTGAAAGACTTCTCTTGGACTCAGATTCCGCGGCAAAATCGACCAATTTTCACCCAAGAAAGAGGGAAAAGCACTCACATGGATCTTCTCATTCCAAGAGAGAATTTGGGGCTGGTAAGCATGAAGTTCCCAGTGGACCAAACCCTATTTCCAACAAGTAGTAAGTCCGCTTATTTTAAAGCATGAATTTTCACAGGGAAGAAGAAGAAAGGTTTGCTAGAGCTGCAGTAATGGCATTTATTTTTGTATTTTGTTCTTTTTGTCTCTCTCTATCTCTCTCTAGTCATTAATTTTATGAGTCGCCATTAATACACTACTTGTCCTCAGTGAGAAGTTTGTTATCTTATGTTGTCATCTTCATCAGTGTATATCCAGAGACAAATCTTTATTTATATATTATATATATATATTTGTATGTACACAGTGGTTTATAGAGAGAAAGTGAGAGCTATTGGTTTGCTAATTATGTGATTGATTTTGCTCATATTCTTAATTTACTGTGTAATTTGTTTAAATTCATCTTATGCTTAAAACTTTTGCTTCTCTGTGCAAATTTTCAAGAAAATAGAAAGATCCATTGTCAATAGGTTTGCAACTCTGCACTAGGGTTTTACCCCCACGCACCGCACCCCAAGGGGGTGGCGAGAAATGGTGTCAGAAGTTGTGGGAGGACCTTTTGTTTTCTGGCTGAACAATAATTTGAATGGCTTTGGACTTTACCTTTGTTTTCTCTGACTCAGAATCCGAGAAAGCTGATTCAAAGGCTATGATTTCATAATAATAACAGTTTGATTGATTCAATCAAAATTACTTTGCATGTGTATTCGTTTCATGAAGAATTATTACTAGGACATTATCTATCTTAACCCCTTATTAGCAAATTTTAATAAAAATTAATAAAATACGCGATGATCTCATTGTGATTAAATTAAAATTGAAGTTTGACTCATTCAAAAGTTGATAAAATTTAATAATTATATTATATTTGAGTATAAAAGATTGTTGTGGTGGAATTCTTATCTAAGAGACTTATTTGTGTTACTTTTTGCTTTAGAATTAGTGGTTTCGATGTTACTCGCCGTTACACGAACACCCTATCTCTTTTCAACAATTATAGAACCTCATAATTTTTTTTCCCAGAAACATACATGTATTTTTAATTTTATACTTTTGCTTTCTACTGTGTTAAAATTGTTATTAAATGTTATGGATTATAATTTCTTTTTATCAAGGTTTTTTTAACATTTTAAATTTTGAAACTAGTAGTAACAACAGACTGGTCTATAATAATTAACAAATCAACACAAATACATTTCTAAAAAATAATTTAATGAAGACGATTTTTTTCATATCATATATTTTCATAAAAAATGTTTTCTATAAAGTGTTACATACTTATTTAATTTTCTAATTATAATATAGCTTTATTGATAAGTAATATATTTTTTTTTTCAATTCTTATAATTTTATGAACATATAATTTAGTTAAGCTTAGAAAATCAAATTACCCTTATCATAATAATAAATATGGAGTAGAGTATCCCGAATAAGGCTGAAAGTTTAGGATACATTATTCATCTTTACTAAAACATTTATAACAATATTTTATTTTTTTTGAAAAAACATTACTCCCATCTTTTAGAAAATATGAAAAATAAATATTAAGGAAAATCACTCAACAATTTGAAATTAGTAAAGTTAGTATTATTCAACTTTTAGTTTGGAGAGTGAGAAAAAATCTCGGAATGTATTCAAAACTTACTATGATTTTGTCATTTGAGAACTGAAGACATTCAAATGTATATATCTATAAGCCGGCAAATTAAAAAATTCAACTAGTATAAATGAACCGCTAAATATTAAATTTCCATAGTCAAGTGACGTGTGACAATTTAAGAAGATTTGTATGGTTTCCAATTTTTTATCTGCAAAAATATCCAACTTTTAGCAGCACCTTGAATTTTTGAACTGGGTTTCAAGTAGGGATGAACAACAAAGCCTATCAACTTACAAGTTAGGATCTACGATTCTACGTGGACCCATTAACACTTCAATTTTAAATTTAATCGAACCATTTAGAGACCATTTGATTCCAGTTTATTAGAAGCGAACTCACCGATGACACAAAACTATGGCGCAGTGGTCATTGTGGATAGTAAACGTCTTAATTTATTTAGTGTTTGTTTGATAAAAAAAAATTATCAAAGTTTTAATTCATCAAACTTTAATTTTAACCATAAATTTTATGTGTCCCGCATCTTTCATCAAATTTTCAATCATGTACTTCATCAACTTTTATTAAAATTAATTTAAACCTCCGTTTGTTTTCAATTATTTGCTCATTAAAATGAAAAATATGGCCGTTATCTATCATATCAAGCCACTATATTTGATTTTCTATCTTTTATGTGGAGCCTGTAAAAATTATATTTTTCATTTTCATTTTTACACTAATGTGTATCAAATGAGGCCTAAATGCAACTTATTTGGGCCAGGTGGACCAAATGTGGCTGGGGCCTTATCCACTTGCTATTTCCTCAAATAACACTTCCAAGAAATAGAACTAGTCAACGGTAAAAATGTTAGCAACCTGAAGAAGTACTGTGAGTGAATTCACTGCATATTACTGTTTGATTGCTCTGAATTCAATTGAATAAATGAATGAACAGACATGCCCGGTTAATCAAGCTGGGTCTGGATGCTAATGCAATCCACGCCACGAAACTTATAAATGGCTGCTCTCTGAGTCACGAGCACCAAGTGTTCGATCGAGTGTTGCACAAGGACACAAACTTATGGACCGCCCTCATCTCTGCTTACGCCCGCTCCGAACTATCTCAATATTCCCAGTCAATCGGACTTTTCTCGCTCATGACCCGGGATTGGGGTCCGGATGCTCGCCGGAACCACTTCACCTTCACAACCGTTGCCCGAGTCATATCTTCTGCCCCTGAACACATTTTTACATGGGAAAAACCCTCAATGGATACGTCATCAAATCTGAGGTGATGTTGAAAGACGTTGTTGTTGAGACTGCATTTATGGATATGTATGCAAAATGTGGGGACATCAAGTGTTCGATCGAGTGTTGCACAAGGACACAAACTTATGGACCGCCCTCATCTCCGCTTGCGCCCGCTCCGAACCATCTCAATATTCCCAGGCAATCGGACTTTTCTCGCTCATGACCCGGGATTGGGGTCCGGATGCTCGCCGGAACCACTTCACCTTCACAACCGTTGCCCGAGTCATATCTTCTGCCCCTGAACACATTTTTACATGGGAAAAACCCTCCATGGATACGTCATCAAATCTGAGGTGATGTTGAAAGACGTTGTTGTTGAGACTGCATTTATGGATATGTATGCAAAATGTGGGGATGTAGAATGTGCTCACAAATTGTTTGTTGAAATGTGTTTAAGAAATTTGGTTACTTGGAACGCTATGTTAGCAGGGTTTGTACATTCAATTGCTCATGTGTACTTTTCTTGCGGTCAAGTAACTCTGCTGAGAAAGTTTTGAGTGGAGTAGAAGGAGATGTTGTTTCAAAGATGATAAAAATTAGAGGATGTGTTTATAATCAAAGAGACAGTGAGGTATTGAAGCATTTTTGTTTAGAAAAGAATTGTGCTGAGATTTTCTATCGGAATTACACTATAATTCTGCCAATTTTAACTGCATGCACGAATCTGTCTTTGCACAGAGTTGGGATGCAAGTCCATAGCATTTTTATTACATTAATTGTTTCTTGTTTTCACTCTAAGTTTTCAGAGGATAACGAAATAATTCTCGGAAGTGCATTTATTGATATGTATAGCAAGTGTAGCTTTATTGATGATGCTCAGAAAGTTTTTTATCATTAGATGCCTGAATAACGGGTTTCTCATTGGAATGCAGTGATATCTAGGTGCATATATAATGATTTGATAGAAGATGCTAGGAGATTGTTTGACAATGAGCCTGACAAAAATGTGGTTTCTTGGACAAGCATGATGACAGGGTATGCACAGAATGTTTGGCCACAAGAAGTCCTAAAGTTGGTTTATAAAATGTATAGTGATGAAGAAGGATTTAAAGTAGAAGGAAATTGCTTAACATTTGTGGTTTGCCTTGAAGCCATTAGCTATTTATCAGATATAGAGACGGGAAGGCAAGTACATGCAAAGATCATTCGGAGATTGATGAGTGCCGATACTCATAATGTGGTTGTTGGAACCGCTTTGATCGATTTGTATTCAAAATCAGGTAAGATGAAGTATGCTCAAATAGCCCTTGACCGGATGAGCGAGAAAAATACCATTGCATGGACTTCTATCATCACGTGTTATTTAGTTCATGGGTTGGGTTTCCATGCCTTGGAACTCTCTCAGCAGATGATGGAAACAGGTATTCAACCAAATGAGTTGACCTTCATTGCTGTATTAACTGCTTGCAGTCGTTGTGGTTTGGTGGAAGAAGGATTGCATTACTTTGAACTGATGAAGACCAAATATAGTCTGATGCCAAGGGAAGATCATTTTACCTGTCTAATGGATATGCTGGGACGTGCAGGCAAGGTAGATGAAGCATGGCGCTTGCTAGAGGAAATTGAAGACACTGAATTGGGATAAAGACGCTCGTCTGGTACCATTTTGGCAGCACTATTGGGTGCTTGTTACGTACATGGAAACATGGAAATAAGCAAGAGGGTAGCTAAAAAGATGTTGCAACAAGTCTCTACTTCGCATATTACCCTTTCTAATGTTTATGCATCGGCCGGAATGTGGAATGAAGCATATGGAGTGAGGATGAACTGGAAGAAAGATGGTGATGAAAATGCAAGCCGGGCCTTAACCAAATCTGCACTCGTCCACAGGTTTACAGATCTGGATTTCTGGAGGTTTTAGAAAAGTGCATATTTATCAACTCAAGTGATTGGCCTTGTAAGAAATTGCTTTATTACTTGGTATATGATGAATTTGTTTCGGCCACCTAAAATTGCTACTACGAAAAAAATGCTCTTTTGTTTACATGTATAATTTCCCTTTTTCTCCTCGAGGACGACTTGACAATGTTTTACATGGACCTCAATGTAACATGTTAAAAGATGGAGAGCTAGATCAAAATTAATGGGATGGATTTAGTTGTATTTGATTTTTCGGTTGATGAACTGAATACGGTGAATAGGATACACAACAAAGGATTCATATAGCCTACATCTAACATAGACCACACTCACCACAGAGTCGACAAATTAAATGAAAACTTTGAATTTCCTCGTAGTTCATTTGATAAATTGAATGTAACATTATCGTTCTAGAAAAAAGGCTAATATTGCATATCACATATATGCTCATTGTTCCTGATAAGCCGCCATACCAACCTCGAGCGTTAATTAATGGGCACCTTTTTCATTTTTGAGCTCTATCCTAATATCTACATCCCGTGACATTCATAAATAATGCACTGACGTGAACTAAGTACCAAAAAGGCTGGCTGCTTGTTCTGTAGTTATATGTCTGTGAATGACAATAAGAGAAATTCATAAGCTTTATCGAATTCATAATATTCTCTTAATTCTTGTCCCACTAACTTCATCTGATGAATATTCCTTTATGGGATGTTTTTATGGTACGTTAGACAGTATCGTACACAATTAAAGAGGAAAAAGATTAAAAAATTTGTCACTACTTTCCAATCAAAAGTACCCTTACAGGACTAGACTCCTTACATCACTATAAAAGGCACAAAAGCTTGAAGAATTTGATAAGATTGTATAAATAGCTAGTTATCCAGGATTTTACTCATATCTCTAGGAAACGTCAAATTACAGTATGTATAGCCAGGGAAGAAGCATTGCAAGGCAATCCGTAGTTTTTCCCACATCTTTTCTTTTTCTTTCTACTATATTTCACTTTGAGGTTGCTCGTGCAACTGTTTTCACTGTGGGGGATTCTTCTGGCTAGGGTTTCAGTATGGGAAATTGGACAGATGGGAAACTCTTCAAGGCCGGAGACGTACTTTGTAAACCCTCCACCTAACTAAGTCGTAAATTGAACCACCTCGTCTAAAAATTTTAGCTGTCAAAGGAGGACAAATTTATTTTTTTCAATTTTACCTTAAGAATGCTCCTTGTATGGAGGCTGGATTCATTTTATTTATCAAAAGTTCGACACGTGAACAATTTTTATAAGTAATAGATGGCAAGACTTGATTGTTGGACATTTGCTTGCTCTAGTATCATATCAACCACCTTACCTCAAAGTGTGTGCCTACCCTGCTACTACATTGAACCACCCTATCTAAAAGCATAAGCTTTTATAGAAGGGACACGTAAACCATCCAACCTATATTTACATTTCTATAAATGCGAACTTTTCTTTTGCCTTATTTTCATTATGTTTTTCTCCGTTGTTTAGCAGTTTTCAACTATGATCCATCTATGCACAATGTGGTGGCTGTAGATTGGAATGGATACAATAGATGCAGTACTTCTGCCAACTTCAGGACATATACCAATGGAAAAGATAGGATCATGGTTTCAAAGGGAAATCACTACTTCATATGTAGTTATCCAGGTCAATGCGATGGGGGCTTGAAGATTGCAATCTCTGCTTGATGAAAATTTGCTTCATCTATGTCAAATTTACTAGGTTTTCCATGATGGTTATTAACTCGTGAATAATGTTTAAAATGAATGAGGAGTTGATATTTTTTGGTTGAAGGATCTGAAATATATATGTTTATATAGTGTTGATTTTGTTGTTGGAGAACCTGCTGAGATCTACTAGTGCAAAATAATAATTAATGTGTGTCACTCTGCAATCAAATGTTCTCTCTATATTTGTACGTGTGTTTAACATGTTTTATTTATTGACACTTCCACATTAAGTCATGCACGAGATCCTCCTCCCTCTCCCCCCAAGGATATTTGAGCGTATCAGATACTTGAAATAAAGAATAAAAAATGATTCTTGTAACACATTTTGTAAAATCAAGATTTTGATTGGCCCTTTGGGAAGAAAAAGTCGAGACCAATTGGAATATTTGCTGGTGAAGATTGCAAACGAGCTGTTTTTCATGTTTCTCATCCCGTGAAAAGAAATTATCCAATAGATATGGAGGGCCACTGCCTGCCACCCGACAGCACAGAGAGCCGCCGCCTCAGCCAAGACCGCATCCACCACATTCACAACCACAATTACAATTACAACAACATTCCCAACCGCAGAGTACTCAAAAACTGAAATTGACATTAGGATCATATTGTTCATGTTCTTTTTTCCTGTTGGTATCCGTAGCAAAAACATTTGTTAGATTTGTTGAGAAATTAAAAATAAAATTTCAAGAAAAATGAGAACACAAAGAATTTTTCACCCTTAAAGGGTCCGGATGTTCAGTCACAAAGACCTACTCACCCGTTGAACATCGACTAAGCGATTAAACTCTAGATCCACTAAAATCTCCAAGAAATCATACAAATTTACGAAAAATCACAGATTTCTTCAAGTTCTCTCTAGCCTCTCTTTTACAAATATGGTAACCAAGAATCTTACACATAGATCTTCTAAACAACTCTCAATACTCAACTACAAAGAAATCATCACAAAGATGAGGATTACCAATTTTCGGAGAACCTTAGTTCACACACAGATAGAACAATCGAGAGAGAAAAGACTGAATAATCTATCAAAAATGGAGTGTCCAAGATATAAGTACTCAGACCAAACGTCACAGATCAAAGGTTGCCAAGAAGCCACGTGTACGGCAGAAAGCATCCCTTAAGAAAGGCAAAAGTCGTTATACAAAAGGACCTTTTTAATAGATGGGCCAAGTAGTAAACCAGTTTAATAGGCCCAGCTCTTCTAGAAATAGCGAGGTAGCCCAGATTCATAACAAACTCCACCTTGTTGAGCTATTTCTTGTTTCAATTAATGGATCTAGAGGTCTCATTAGCTTTATTTGCTCTCATAACCTGTAAAAAACAAAAACAAAAATTAGTTTAAATTCAATACATGGCTTAAGATTCTAATTTATCACTGATTGCCAATCTTATGTGATATATAGAATCATCAAGCAATTTTTAAACTTGTTTAAAGGGAAAATTTTGATACCTAGATCAGAGGGATTATATTCTGTAAGAATTTTGACTAAATAAATCATACATTTTTCAACCATGTTCCACACAAAGTGGAATTTTATGTCAATATGCTTTGTTGTATCATAATAAACTGGATTTCTACTGAGATGTATAGCACTTTGGTTATCAGTAAATATTCTTACAGAATTATTTTGAAAACCAATTTCATTTAATAAACCTCTTAACCACATACATTCTTTAACAGCATCACATGTAGCAATATATTCCGCCTCTGTTGAAGATAATGCAACTAATTTTTGCAGACGTGATATCCAACTAATACAACTACCACACAAGGTAAAAATGTAGGATGAAGTAGACCTTCTTTTGTCTAAGTCTCCAGCAAAATCTGAATTACAATAACCCTTCAGAATTATACCTTCATTGCACATTTTAAAGTTTATTCCTAAATGACATGATCCTTTCAGATATCTAAGCATCCATTTAACTGCTAACTAGTGAGTTTCACCTGATTTTGCCATGAATCTACTCAAAATACTTATTCCATGAGCTAGGTCTGGTCTAGTGCATACCATAAGGTACATTATGGACCCTATTGCATTTGCATATGGAACATTTTTCATTCTGTCAATCTCATCTTCAGTTTTAGGTGACTGATCACATGATAATTTAAAATGATTTGCAAGTGGCAGGGATACAGATTTACATTCAACCATAGAAAACTTATCTAAAATTTCTTCACATAATTTCCTTGTTTTAAACACTGCATGTAATTATTTATGTTCCTTTCTATTTCCATTCCTAGGATTGTTTTAGCCTTTTCTAGATCTTTCATTTCAAATTCTGATTTCAGTTTAAACTTAACAGATTCTATTTCAGATTTTTCATGGCAAGCAAGTAACATGTCATCGACATATAACAGCAGATAAATGGATTCAGGACCACCTAAACCCTTAAAGAAAAAATAGGAATCATAGTTGTTTTTCATAAAGCCCAAGGTTTTCACATAAGAGTAAAATTTTATATACTACTGCCTAGGGGCTTGCTTAAGCCCATAAAGTGATTTTTTTCAAAAGACAAAGCTGTTGGGTTTTTGATTTTACCTGATACCCCTTTGGCTGATTCATGTATATTTCTTCATCAAGTTCACTATTGAGGAAAGCTGTATTGACATCCAGTTGTTTTAATTCCCAGTTGAAATGAGCAGTTAAAGCAAGGAGAATTCTAATTGAGGTGTACTTTGGAACTGGTGAAAAAATTTCATTATAATCCATGCCTTTCTTTTGGGTAAAGCCTTTTGCTACTAATCTGGCTCTATACCTTTTATTTTCTGAATTAGAGTCCCCTTATTTTATTTTGAAGATCCACTTATAGTCAACTATCGTTTTGTCTTTTGGTTTATCCACTAACACCCAAGTGTCATTTTTAATCAGGGAATTCATTTCTTCATCCATAGCTTCCTTCCAAAGCTTTGAGTCAGGACAACTAACAGCTTCTTCATAAGTGTTTGGTTCTGGATTCAAAGAATCTAGACCAGAAAATAAGGTGACAAAGTCATCATTGTTAAATCTAGTAGAGGGTATTCTATTTCTCCTCTCTCTATCTCTTGTCAGTTGATAATTAGTAAGAGATGAATTTTCAGATTCAACTTCAGGTTCAAGCTGATCACTTTCAGCTTTAGATTGAGTGGTCTCCACCTTAATCTGATCATTCTGATTATTAGGGCTTTCAATTTGATTTTTTAGAACAGACTGCTTTATGATTGTGGATTCATTTGATTTTGGTCCTGATGAGTTCAAGCATGGCATATCCTTTTCATTGAATATAACATTTCTGCTTATGATGACTTTAAAGCCATTATGCTCCTTAACCCAAAGACTATATCCTTTGGTTTCCTCGCCATAACCAAGAAAGACACATTTTCGTAATCTTGGTTCCAATTTTCCCTTATTTTGATGAGAGTAGGCAACACAGCCAAATACTTTCAATTTTCTGTAATCTGGTATGGTTCCTGACTATAATTTTTCAGGTATCTGAAAATTAATAGTACTTGATGGACTTCTATTTATAAGATAGGTTGCAGTTTTGAGGGCTTCCCCCCAGAAAATTTTTGGTAAGCCAGAACTATGTGACATACACCTGACCTTTTCTAATAGGGTCATATTCATTCTTTTAGCAACACCATTCTGTTGCGGGGTGTATGTCACAGTTCTGTGCCTTATTATACCACTTTCTTTACAAAAGAAATCAAATTCAGTATTACAAAATTCAAGTCCATTATCAGTTCTAAGTGTTTTAATTTTCCAGTTAGTTTGATTTTCAATCATCAACTTCCAATGTTTAAAGATTTGAAAAGTATCAGATTTTTATTTCAACAAGAAAGTCCATGTTTTCCTTGAAAAATCATCTACTATAAGTAGATAGAATCTAAAGCCACTCAGTATATTTATAGAGGTTGGTCCCTAAAGATCAGCATGTAAATACTCTAAAATACACGATGATTTATGAATTCCAGGTTTGAAAGATTGTTTTTGGTGTTTTCTAATAATGCAGTCTTCACAAAAATCTAACTTTTCAATGTTATCCTTTCCAAAAGAGCCAAGTTTATTCAAGAGAAGAAGACCTTTTTCATAAATGTGGCCAAGCATTTTATGTCAGATTAGAGATTGATTTGTTTTAGAATTTACAGCTGTGGAGGTGGAACCTACAAGATGTTCACCAAAGATAGTGTAAATTCCATGTGTCTTATGAAAGGTGATGACTTCCTCATTGTCATCGTTTACACTTATGAAAGGCTGGTT